AACCAAACTAAAGTTTAATCGGTTTGGTTAATTGGTTAACCAGATTAACCAATATAAAATCACATTATCATTGACGATGAAAATTTTCCGATTAATGCAACAATTCGCAATTTATATAATGAATAAAACATAACAATCAACACGTAGTTATAGTTGACCCTTAACAAAAATACATGCAACTAAGATAATTATCTTACGATTAGTATAGAAGTATTCACTTAACAAAAATTTATGACAAAGGTATGCGTTAATGACTTGTTGTGTTTCTGTAAATTGACTTAGTCTCTTAGCAATTATCATAGGCTGGAAATGACTTCCTTTTAAGTTTTCATCCATCATAATGTAAAAATTTATCTAAATTAGGCGTCCATATGTTGTGGTCTACATTTTACATATACAAATATACACTATATGAGCAATATTGAGCTTTATATTTTATGAGTCTAAAAGGGATGAACGTTAACTCTTGAGTGGTTATGCAAAGTATTAAGTATGTGTATATAATATATGTTAGATATATGACTAATTATTTAACTGGTTAATTTGGTTTGACTGGTTAGGAGTGTCTGAAACCAAACCAAACCACCTAAACCAGTTGGGCGACACCGGACTGGGTGGACCATGATTGATCGGGCCAACAGTGGTCAGCCCGAAGGAGGTCGGACCGGGCCCGGTTGGGCTAGCAGTGGTCAACCCGAGGTGGGTCGGACCGGACATCGACCGAACCCAACCAACCAGCCGCCCAGGGCCGCGGACAGCAGAGGATCGGCCTGTTGGAGAGCCCCGTATGGGCCGCACGACATTCCTGGAGGATATCCGGACCAGCTAGGAGGCTATCAGGGGTACTATGGCTCAGGAAACCCGAGCCGGGGGCGTGGACTCTCACAAGGGCAGCCATGGAGGGCCCCAGGGAACGACAGGCATGGATCTTGCTATCCTAGTAATGAGGGTACTGATGGAATAGTCTTTCGAGCTAAGCCTCCTACCATGGAGTTTCCAAAATTCAATGGGCAAGAGGATGCAGGTCTCTGGTTATATGTAGCTGAGAGGTGGTTTCAAACCACCCAATTCCCGAGGAACGGAAGGCCTACCTGGCGCCCTTCTATTTAGAAGGTGATGCGCTTCAGTGTTGGGAGTGGATGGAGCGATCATACGCGGCCGCCACGACATTGATCACCTGACCCATGTTCCAGGAGGAGCTCTGTTACCAGTTTGGGAAATCAGAAGGGTGGGCTCCTGAACAGCTCGCGAAGCTGAAGCAGACTGGCTCGGTGGCTGATTACCGCGCAGAGTTCCTCAAGTTGGGGAACCATTGCAAGGGAGTTCCGGAGGACACCCTAATGGGGCTAATGCATGGCAGGCCTAAAACCCGAGATAGTGACGGCATTCAGGGTATTTGAGCCGGGATCTTTGAAGGCTGCTTTTCGTCTTGCAGGTCACAAGGAAGAATAACTTGCTAGCTGGAGGAGTACCCTTGGTCGTTACACCAGGCCAAGTGGAGGGGGAAGCAGTAGTGGGAGCGGAGGCAGTGGAGGAGGAGCAGCGACGGGAAATGCGGTAGGGGCGAGTGCCGGGAGCAGGAACCCTACACCAGCGACCAGGGGAGGGCCTCGGCCCATACCAAAATGGTTCTATCGGCTCTCTCCGGCTCAGATTGAGCAGAAGAGGCAGGAGGGCAAGTGCTTCAATTGTGATGGCCGATTCACCATCGGGCACCAGTGCCCGAAGCCAGATTTGATGATGTTAGTTGGGCGATGGGAGGATGAAGCAGAGGACGAGGCAGAGGACGACGGGAGTGGCGAGAAGGAGGCCTAGTGAGTAGAGGACCAACCTTGAGGACAAGGTTGTTTTCTGAAGGAAGAGGGGATGATAGAAACTAGTATTTAGCATTTTAATTACTGATCGGATTGTTATTATTTCAGATTATTGAGACTATTTCGGGAATTGGGGAATAAATTATATGTCGGGTAGCAGTAGGGAATTATCAAATTATTATATAAATGACTTGTAAGTGGGATTAGTCCACTAAGCAAGAATTAACCTAAAGCCTAAACTCTCTAATCCCTTTTCCTCTTCCTCTCTCTGCCGACCCCACTCTTCTTCTCTCCCTCTCCTTGGCTGCGCAGACAGCAGCCCTTCCTCCTCTTCTCCTTGCTGCTGGCGGCAGCAGGCCCTCCCCCCCTCCCCCCCCCCCCCCTCCCTTACTCAGACCCCCAAATCAATTCCCTATCCATTTCCTAAATCCCAGGATCAATCCCTAGTTGATCCTCATCCCTAATTCGCAGGTAGAGCTCGGCTTGAGTTCTATCAGTAGGTAGCCAAATTTTGCCTTGAGAATGTCAGTTTTGGAAAGTATCTTGTCTTTAGGGTTTTTGCCATCAATGAGTTTGGTTTGTTAATAACATTCCAGACTTGCTTTCCAAGCATAGCATTGTTAAAAGCACTAAGGTCTCTGAATCCCTTACCCCTTCCTCTTTGTTGTCACATAGCTCATCACAATCCAGCAAGTGGATCATGGTCTCTCTCCTTTTTTGCCGTCACCAGAAATTTGAAATAAGGCATCGGATTTCCTTAAGAGTACCCTCTGGAAGGAGAAAAACCAACATAGGATAAAGAATCTACACTTGAGCTACTGCTTTAATCATAATTTTCTTCCCATTCTGTGACATTGTCCTGTTTTTCCACTCCTTCAATATTTTCTGAACTAATTCTTTCACATCTTCAAAAATAGCCTTCTTTGATCTTCCAACCACAGTAGGGAGTCCAAGATACTAAGGATGCTTATCTACTTTCAATTGTACCACAAACCTCCAAGCTGCAGCTAATTCTAACATTAATGTTGAAAGAGATTTCAGATTTACTCAAATTAATGAGTTGACTAGATTCCCTCGCATAGATGTTCAAAATCTCCTTTAGTTGATCACATTCTTTCAAGGTTGCTCTGCCAAACACTATGTTGTCATTTGTAAACAAAAGGTGGGAGATAATAGGAGCTTTCTTTCGAGTTTGAATACTATGAAGTCTGCCATCCTTTTCCGCCTTCTTAATCAGAGCTGTAAGCCCTTCAAAACACATGAGGAAAAGGTAGGGGGATAAAGGATCGCCATGTCGTATGCCTCTAGAAGGAGTGAAACACTCAGATTTGTAACCATTGACCAGCACATAATAAAAAATTGTAAGACGCACTGCATAATCAGCTCAACCAATCTGTCATCAAAGCCCATCTTCCTCATGACCTTTTTCAGAAATAACCATTCAACTCGATCGTAGGCTTTGGCCATATCGAGTTTTGCAGCAAGAAAAACCATCTTTAGCCTTCTTTCTTTACTTCATAAACTGGAAACATTCAAAACCAACAATAATGTTGTCAGTTATGTAGCGTCCGGGGACAAAAGTGCTTTGCTCCTCTGAAATGATATCATCCAGAACTTGTTTCAATCTGTTTGCCAAAACTTTCGTGGTTGGGCTTCAAGATGTGAGATTCATCGAAAATGTCAAAGTGATCATTGATAAAGTGAATGCAAGATGTACCAAGGATGCTAAGGGCAAGGCGATCTTGACATAACTTCGTCATCTTCTAACATCTTCTCCGGGTTTCTACATTAGATTTATATGTAGACAAGACAACAGGGCGTCCCATTTAGTGGCCAAAAAAGCTCTAGCTTTGTTTCCTACGGGGTGTTTGGACTTTGATTTTCAAGCGTGGATATGCTCGAAAGTCGAGATTTTGTAACTTCATTGTTTCTTGGTAGTGCAAGTAATCTTTTCCGCCAAAAAAACTTTAAATAATTATTTCAATTTTTATTTATTTTTTATTGTTACATCAGTAATTTAACGTTTAAACATAATCGTTGGCTGGCATATAGGACCAATTTAACGTAACTAGATGACTAGTGACCAATAATGAAACATTGCTTGAAGTGAGTAACTAGTGAGAAAAAAATCGAGTGAGAAATGTGAAAGAAATTGATAAATCGAGTGATCAAATATGCAATATACCCTATATTAAAATGAATATCATTTTATAGATTACAATGACCGCGTTTCATCTGTGTAAAAATTTCAATATTGGGTTGAAACAAAGAAAATACAAGTCAATTAAAAGGAGTGGAATAAAAAAGTTCATGAATTTCAAAATGAAGATTTTCCTTACAATATGAATTTTATAAAATTATGGATTTATGATGGATTAATGCATTATGAATTTGGACCAAACCACTATTTGCTTGTTTCATTTCAAGATGGATTTTGTTGAATGAAAATTCAAGATATGAAATACAATCAACCATATTGCCCTTCTTTATAATTATTAGTCAATTATTATTATTTTCATATAAACAAATAGGTGGTCATGGACATGTTGGGAAAGCAGTTTAGAAGTTCCTTGAGTACCACTAAAAGATTTTCAGAGCCAAAACATGGAATCAGTAAAGGATTTATATAAATGCAATTAACATAAGCGACAGCCAAAATTGTAGAAAGAAAATAGGGCGAGGGCGAGGGCAGGTTCGTAATTAAGAAAAAAATTTAGGATAAATGATAAAATACTCTCATGGATTTTGTGGTTGTTTTTTTCATGGATTTGAGTGAGAAATTTGAAATTTGAGTACCAAATCCAATTTATTATAGACTTGAGAGAACTCTATTGTTTGCTTGTTAATATTCAATGAATATAAAAATATTAATTTTTAATACCCTTAAGTCCTTTAGGTCGTTTGGAAATAACGTATCTCTTTTGGTTGAACCATGCAAATGTGGTATTTGATATGTGATATTTGATAAAAGTAGAGTGATAAAACGAGTTATTTCGAAATAACACATGGGTATGAGTTATTTCAAATAACTCGTTGTGAGTTATTCGAACCCAAATAACTCATACAAATACTCCAATCAAACGACCCCTTAACTACGAGAAAAAAACTGACTCCAAAATTATTGACAAGTTATTGGTGGTTATATTTAATGGAATAAATAAAGGAAAAAATGTCAAAAATCTAAATCTCTAGAGTTAAAATCCATTATACAAAAAGGAAAAAAAAAGCATAAATTTCTATTAAATATTTAAGTCTAGATTTTTGTATTTCTCCAAACGACCCCTATCTAATATGGAAAAGGGTAAAGGGTATACGTACATAGAATAGTGAAGACATTACTTACAACCTGCAATGGGAAAATGAAAAACACCACAATGGGTGAGCCTACATTTTGTTTTTCACCATCAGGTCGTTTCAGTTCAACATGTTCCCCTCACGCCTAGACTGGCCATCCATCGTTTCATTTTGGGTGCCAAAATCTTGGGCGTACTAACTAATTCAAATGGTCAATAAGCAAAACCCATTTGTTGAAGATCGGTTTCAAACTGAATACAGCTTTATAACTTGAGTCAACTTAGCCCGGCAAACTGGACAAGTACCTTTCTTGCCTTTGATGTCGCTCAAACATTCCATACAGCCTGCCATGTGACCACAAGGGACGCATGCACCCTGTACTGGAGCGTCCCAACAGATTATGCAAACGGAGGAAGCAGAAGAAGAAGAGGCACTACCTTCATCCTTTGAGTTGCTTGTTGCAGACGAAACCCCCTGCTCGGTGGCTGGAACAGAGAGATCCAATGGACCAAGGTCGATGGATGGATAGTGGATAGGGCCTTCTTCATCCATGGTTGCTTCCGTGGGAACTGGAGGAGCAGATGGAGCTGTGGTGGACGCAACAGCTACAACTTGGTTCACTGGGAGGCTATTATGTTGCATTTGGGAATGAGCTTGACTGCCAGCAGTAGGCCTAGTGCTGGGAACATCCCAGCCATTGTATTTCTCTTTTGCTGCCTTCTCGGGCACCTGCCCGCTGCTGCTAGCTTCTGAGAGTGGAGATCCTACAGGGGCCCCCCATCCATTGTGACTCTCGGCATGTGGTGCATCTCCCCAACCGTTGGTATCAATAGCTCCAGAACCATAGTCGTGGCTATTTGGGGGCTGTTGCCTGTCCTCCATGGCAGATTGGATGGATGCACTCAGTGCCATTGCCAATTGTAGAGCTTCTTCAGGATCTTCATATCCGGTATCTGGGATGACATGTTCCATATGCTGATGCCTTGGTGTAGGCCCAACCTGAGAAGATCAAGATACTGATCAGTGTGACAGCAAAAATAGAATTAGACCACATCACAACCCCTACAATCAACAAACTGAAAGGGAAAAAATCGTCATTCCCCAAATCGCCTTTCTCAATTATCAACACCTAAAGGTGACAGAAAAGGGAAGCACAGGGGGGAAACTTGCTGTTTATCTAGAGAATAGCTCAGTCATCCAGCATTCAGTACAACTCACAGAGGGAAGTGAATAAAGCATGATAAAAAAATAAAATTTTGAATACCTGTGTGATACCATTTCTTCTGCATGCATCGTATAAGCAGCGAAGCTGGTCCTTGTCGCCCTGCTTGAAAGGTGCCAATTGGTGCCGAGAATCTACGCCGGAAATGAAAGATTGTAGTGAATACCAGGATACTATACATGTTGACAACTCAAAATCCATTTATTATCATGTAACACTAAAGCAACGGACGCTAGATCTATTAAAAGTTGGTGACTCGGCTCAACAACGTAAAGTTTTGGGCTAATCTATCAGGAAAGATAGTTAAACGGGCATCACTCCTGAACAGTTAATACTCAACATATCATTTTGTCAATGCTGGTTAAATGGATCGGTTATGAGTCTGCATGGCAGAAATTCCACAATGGAAAATGCCCTACATACAATCAACATGATCCTTCCAGCTGACTGTGTTGGCTGAGAACAATGCTCTATCTATCTATCACACTACAAAATGAAATTATGCATCATGCAAGTGCAAAGATGGCCACAAACTACAAACTTAACCATATTACTACAAAAACTATGTGAGACAATAAACATGCTGCAAGTAAGGCAAAAGATCCATCCATTTTCTAAATAAACTGTGCACCATGCATTAAGGTTGAGCTAAACACTACATGGGAATCACCATTCTCTTCATCGCCTAAGATTAGATTCGAAAACAAGATGAACTAATGACAGGATCAACAATCAAGGAACAAAAGCCTGTGCATTCAACTGGAAGAATGCCATTAAGCATATTCCTTCAAGTGATCAACTAGTATGTTACCCTGATAAAAAGGATATTTTCTACGATCCACAATATCAGTGTCCAAGTAAGAACTGCACAATGAAATTCCTCAGAATGGTATCAGAGGAAATAAAAACCTTGAATTAGTATAATTACTTACTTGAGGATGGGTCGAATATAGTCATTCCTGCATCCGGATTGTCAAATTTAGGTTCTTCAATTTTGGCATTCCAAAGAGGAATTACAGTGTAAGGTTTGGCATCCTGTTTATAAAACATAAAAAACTAAGACTGAAGTTGATATGGCAGAGATACGACATAAAGTTAAAGATCTTGCAACTCAAACATAATTTGCCATAGTTTTCACAGTGAAACATCAATCAGAAAGCCAGAATCAACTTTAGGACTATGCTACCTGCTGATTGGAATATAACACAAGCTGCAATCTGGCATTTGTAGGATCTCTAGTGCTATAAGGCAGAACAACTGCCCAGCTGCAGGCAATTTGATGTAATTAGCACAGCTAAATGGAGCTTCAGGAATCATTATTAACGAAAATTTGAAATCTTCTAGCATGATGCCATATCCAACTATGCCTATGATAAATAGCATTGAGAGTACTGCCATCATACGTACACTTTTGTTGCCAACAACTGAAGAGAAAATGATCTCAGAAATGCTGGACCATGAAACTCTCGCAACCAACCAGAGAAAAGGCAGATATGATGCTGCAAATACAACAAGATCCTAGCTTAGGTAAAAATATATATTAAAAAAAACCTTGAATAGTTAAAACAAATAACGAATGTTAGCTCCTTTGTGCACCTCAATTGCACGGACTACAACTGTTTTCTGGTTTGTTCTAGCCATATCAAGTGCAGTCTGGCCATCATCATTTCTCAACAACGCATTCCCTAGAACATTTACCAGGCAACCAAAATTCAGTATGATGGCTTGAGCAACAAAAACAGGAGCATTGCACACAACTTAACACGCCATGGAAAAAACGACTTAAACATCATAGAAGTACACAAGAAACACCTCCACTCAACAGAAGAAGCTGCACAGTCTGTTCCAGCCCTCTGCTGGCAGCATGATGCAAAGGCGTACCACCATATCGACCTGCTAGATTCCACAATACACTAATAAGTAGTTCATTCTCCTCAAGTTCTAGACCGTAGGAAAGGGGTAATTTGTAAGCATGCAGGACTGGGAAAGCTTCCAAAGACTAGATTGCACAAGTTTTACCAGGTCCATAAGCATTAACGTTGGCTCCCAGATCAATCAAAGCCTTGGCAACATAGAACAATGCAGAATCCTTACAAGCAACAATGAGAGGGGTATTTCCTTCTTTGTCAGTACACTGCAAAATCAAAAGAGAAAGACGGAACCAAAAAGTTCGGCCAAATTACGATTCTGGGTTCTGAAGAAAGTATTGAAATGGGTTCATAATAAGAAGTAGCAACATAATTACCTCAAGATTAGCCCCATGTCCATATAGAGCTCTGGCGCCCTCGACGTTACCGGCGAGAACAAACTGAAACAAGAGCTCGTCTTTGGATTGTTTTGGGCTGGCGGAACCCAGACTCTGCCCCATTATAATGGTCAAGTGAAGTCGGAGACGGACTATCTCCTCCGCGAACGATTCAATAGCGGAAAGGATCCTGAACAAGGAAGAAGGGTCGAGCCGACGCAGAAAGGATAAAAGATTGCAGAGGGAAGGAAACTTAGCCATGAAGGGTTATCGTGGCGTGCTTCTGGATACAAGGGAGTTGACCTAACTGCCTCGTTGAATTCCTAGAAATCTAAAAGAGAAAATATTTCAAGAGGAGAAACCGTCTAACCGAAAGCACAAGACGATTTTTTTTTTATACAAGATAAGGGACGATTAATTTAAGTGGTTATTAGAGACTAGCTTTGAACCGGTGGGTTTTATTTGATTATTTATATATTTCGACTCTTCTATCATAGGGATGGCAGTCGGCCCGCTGGTTTTGGGCATCCGTCGGGGCCGATCGTGTGTAATGGGACGAAACTCGCGACGGCGGTTAAGTTAGCGGTGTCGGGCTTACTCGTGACCTGCGTTACTTGGTGACGGGCTGGGGATGGATCTTGTGATACCCGCCCCGTATCCCCCGGTAGCGAAACGACGACGTATGGACATAGGTATAAAGAGTCGTTTTTCGCTAGGGTTTGGAGGAAGCTCATTTCAGCAGCCGCCTTCCTCTTTCTTCCCCGATTTTTCTTTCTCGAAAATCGAAGATCCCATGATAAAAAAAAAGCACATATCTTGCTGTTAATCAACACTACAACCACCTAAATTGTCTCGATCGACAAAAATTCTCTTCGAATTGTCAATCTCAATCGTGCATGTGAACGATTTCTTTTCCAGATGGCCAGATCGTTTTTGTTCATCTGCAGATCATCGAACTCATAATCTAGAAACCCTAGCCTTCCAGATTTTCGGATCAGCCTTTCCTTCATTCTAAGTAAGTTTATTTGACAATAGTTTGTTTAATTATTTGTTATTGGTTCTTGCTTAGTTCGGCAGAGACTCAGAAACCCTAAAAATCCAAATATGCTCTTTTGTTCTTGCAGATTGTTGTTCGTGAGTCCCATCTAGCGATTGCTGCTTCTGCTTCAACGTGTTGTCTGCTATCTGATGAGGTAAGTTGACGATTACTCACCTTAATAGCTAAGATCGAAATGTTAAAATGCTAATGAAACCCTAAACCCATTTCAATTTGTAAATGCTAATGAATCATTAGTAATGACTATTGATAAATTTGTTTATGCTAATCTGAATAGGTGAACACATGAAGGTTGAAATCTGTAAATGCTGAGATTTAAATTAGTAATGAAGGGTGAAATCTGTAAATGCAAAGATCAAAATTAGTAATGATAAATTTGTCCATTGTTAATCTATGCTTTTGTGATTTTGCAGATTTCTCTTTTCTGTTGAGGAATCAAATCAAGCAGCCGGTTCATAAAATGCATTATGCTTAGGTAAGTCGTCGACCCTAGCTTGTTGTTGGTTGTTCGTAGCTAAACCTGAGTCAGAAACACTAATTTGTCTACTTTTGTGTTTTTGCAGATTCCTCATTTTTGTTCAGGAATTTCATCAAGCAGTTGGTGCTTAAACTACAATCTGCTTAGGTAAGTTGTCGACCCTAGCTTGTTGTTGGTTGTTCGTAGCTAAACCTAAAGCCTTTAAATTGATAATGTTGTAAGTAAACTGAAAGGGTGAAATCTGCTGGACTAGCTCAACTGGTCAATCGATGTTTGTAAGTTCATTAGTGTTAGCAGCTAAACTGCTAATCTGCTGAATGCTAATCTGTAATATGAAAAAGGGTAATAGGTAATCTGCTAATCTGTTGTAATGCTACTCGAATCAAGTAAACTTCTAATATGTAATCCTAAACTACTCAAATCAAGTAAACTTCTCGATATGTAATTTGCTAATCTGTTGACTATTGTAAGCTACTAATCTGAATTAAATTATGAGAACACAACTGAACAGTGGACATCTTTCTAAAACATCTTTTTTATTTCTTCCTTTTAAACAGACGGAACCCCAAAACGTTGAGAATGCACCTGCTAATGAAGTTGTTGCCCCTCCTAATGGTAATCCTGATAATCTCGTGGAAGATGTTCTTCCTCAACATCCCTTAGGTGCTTCTAGGTCTTTAAAATCTGATGTCTGGCCTCACTTCACTAGGTTGATGGTGAATGGGATATTAAAAGCTAAATGCAACTATTGTAAGAAGGTGTTGCCTGGGAAATCTAGTAACGGTACTTCCCATCTTAGAACTCATAGGAACAAGTGTGTTCATAAAAAAATACACGATGGGAGTCAAAGGGTACTTGGTGCTAATTACAATGCCAATGGTACTGCAGATATGAGTACCAATCAGTTTAGTAGTGAGGTGTCTAGAAAGGAACTCTGCACCATGTTCTTGGTGCACGAGCATCCCCTTTGTATTGTTGATCACCTTTACTTCAAAAGGTTTTCATGCACCTTGAACCCTCTCTTCAAAGTCCCAACCCGAAATACCATAAAAAAAGACATTGTGACTATTTATGGTTTAGAGAAGTCTAAAATTCAAAGGGTCGTGGACCAAAACAGAGGGAGGATTGCTGTCAAAACTGATTTGTGGACTGCCACAAATCAAAAAAGGTCTTACATGGCTGTTACTGCCCATTACATAGACAATTCTTGGAAGCTAAGGAACCATCTGATTATGTTTGGTTATGCCCCTGCCCCACACACTAGTGAGAGGTTGGCTGCAAAGCTTTCTAAATGCCTCCAATCATGGAACATTAATAGGACATTGTCAACAATTACTCTTGACAATTGTACTACCAATGATTCAATGATCAATCTAGTTAAACAAAGGGTGGTTCTATATAATTTGATTAGGAATGGAACACTTCTTCGTATGAGGTGCTCTACTCACATCTTTAATCTCATTGTGAGGGATGGCCTAGATGTTCTCAAAGATGGAATTGAGAACATCAGGGATAGTGTGGTATTTTGGACATGCACACCTAGGAGAGTTGAAATTTTCAATGCAACTGCCCAGCAGCTTAAGCTGGCTATTTCTAAGAAACTGGTGTTAAATTGTCCCACTCAGTGGAATTCTACTTTTGACATGCTTTCTGCTGCAGTCCCATATAAGGATGTGTTCTCTATTCTGAAAATAAGGGAACCTCAATACAACTCTCTGCCAAGCAACGAGCAGTGGGAGTTTGCTGAAATTTTGTGTGGGAAACTTGAGGTTTTCAAGGACATAACTGCTGTATTTTCTGGTTCAAACTATCCTACAGCCAATCAGTTTTTTGCTAAGGTGTGTGACTTGAGGCTGCGTTTGATGGAATGGTTAGTTGATCCTAATCTGATGATTGTTTCTATGGCTGAGAAAATGTGGGCAAAGTTTGTCAAATACTGAGATGATATTCATTTGCTATTGGTTGTTGCTGTTGTGATGGATTCGCGGTACAAATTGGATTTGATTGGGTACTATGCAAACAAATTTGGCATTTCTGGTTCTAACCTTGTGATTGATAGTAAACAAAGATGTTGTTGATGATGTGGTTGTTGAATATCAGAGGAAATCCTCTAAGAACACAACTGTTTCTTCTACATCTCATGCTTCTTCTTCGGCCACAGATCTGGATTTTGATCTATATGTGAGCTAAAAGAAAATATCCAGAACATCTTTTGTTACAACGGAGTTAGATCACTATCTAGCTGAGGATAATCATCCTAGAATACCAGATTTTGATTTGCTTGGTTGGTTGGTGGAAATTCAATGGTGCCAAGTATCCCATTTTGCAAGACATTGCAAGGGATTTAATTGTTGTGCATGTTACAAGAGTTGCTTCGGAATCAGCCTTTAGTTCTAGTGGGAGGCTTTTGGACCCCCATCGGAGCAGGCTTGATCCCGAAACAGTTGAAGCCATGATGATATTGAGGACATGGATTCAGGATGATAGCAAAGGTGATTTCTGGTTTACTCCAATTCTTAGTGCTTTGCTGTGTTTTGCATTTCTTGCTTAGTAATCTTATCAATTAATAATTGATTTCCCTGCCTTGTAGTGTCTGCCTCGGATTTGAAAGCCCTGGAGGGGGTTTTCTCAGCTATGGCAATGGATGATGCCTCGGTGGAAGACTGCAGAGGTAACTAACTGGTTTCGCAAAGATGAAATTGCTATAACTAGTTCATTAACTTAGGTTTCTGCTCTTTTCTAACTAGATTTTTTTGTAACAAATGGAGTTGGAAGTCAATCGAAGGAGAAAGGAGATGAGGATGATGTAGCTGTAACACCCTAACTCGACTGGGTACTATTACTAAAATGCCCTTGAAAAATAAAATAACCAAAGCTTAAATTGCAGCGGGAAAAATTTCATAATAAAATACTGAAAACACACTCCTGTAGTTCAAAGCAAAGCCCTACAAGTGGGCAAACTCAATACTTAAAATCTCAAAGTGATCTCCATTCTATACTCATAATCATAAATGTAAATAACTAAAAATCCCTAATGTTGCTGCTACTGAAAACCTTGACTAAGCATCCTCCGTGACGCTTATATTGCCCTTCTCTAGCTGGCTGCCATCCAGCTCGCTGCTCACTAACTACTCCTCTAGCTCCTCCTCTAGCTCTTCAAACTGGTGAGTGAGATGGGGTCAGTCTACGCCCTTAAGTTTAACATCTTATTAAGACTTGATTACTTTACTTAACTGAGTGGAAGTTTTTTTGTACTTCCACTATTAAAAAGCTTAAATCTTAAAATTGAATGGGAGTTACTGTTACTCTCCATTCTTAAAGCTCAAATCTCGACTTAAATACTTGACTGACACGGGGATCCCTCACTAGCTAGTCCGGTTGCCAACTCATATGTATGAGAAGCCATCCAGGCTTTCCTTAAACTTAAACTTAGTTAGGGGAGTCATAACGATTCATCCACCTAACATCTTAAACTTATCGTGGTGGCTCTTCACCACGATTCTCAAGAGCATAACTGCTGCTCATCTTAAAAGTCTCAAGAGCATAACTGCTGTTCTATCTCAAAATGTCTCAAAAGGCAACGGACTGGCGCTAGTGACTAAAAACACTTAAAACAACTTCACCTTCTTGAAGGCGAGTTACTTCTTAAAAAGAACTTGTTGCTTAAACTTTAACAACTTATACTCATAAAATTTCAAAGTAAGTAACAACCATTCACTTCAAGTCATAATTCAAACAAGGCACATATCATCATCCATAATCACGCAATCTCAAACATGAATCGAATACTGCACATACATCACCATGTAAAGCAATACTCAAAAATACTCAAGGCAAATACTTGAAAAACC